TTTATTGTAGTATATTAATAATAGAAAATTCAACGTTTTATTTATTTACAAAAATAATTTAGCAAAGAAGATATTTAAGTGATAGTTTGGGGCGAAAGGCGGTGGGGGAACTGTCGCCTTCGAAATCGGGCCGAAATGTGCAGCTAATTCCGAGCACTGATCTTTATAATATAAACTTTCTATTATTGTTGATATTACATATAATCCATTTGTTACAGATGAATTTGTAATTAACATTATCATAAACAAGTTAAAGCAAAATTCATTACCTAATATTTTTATTGCAATTTTTATTATAAATTAAATAGAAATATTTTATAAATAGAAATATTTTATAAATATAGAAATATTTTATAAATGATACATGATGAATTGCGTAAATGAGTTGTGAAAAAAAAATCTTAAACAAATTTAATAATTTTAACTTTCAAATTTAAAAAATGATTTATATTGTATGTAATATATTATTTATATTGTATATAATATAAAAAGTACTTTCTTGAATTTTAAAGTAAAAAAATATTTTGTTTTTCTTTTATCTTTTCTTGACACTGTTACGTCGTGATTACACGATTTTTCTCTTTCGAGAATTAGTTATTAAAATTTAGACATTAATATTTAGATTTAAACAAACAAACAGACGTTAAATATCTTCTCTGTTGAGGAAATCAAAATATCAGAAAACAGGATGCTGAAAATAGACAAACACGTAAGTCCCGGGTTATGCATATAACTCTTACAATTTCGGAAAATAATAAACACGCGGGCTGCCGATCACACGGATAGTAATAACTACACATCTTTACACTGTTCGTTCTCGGGAAACCGAAAAATGGTAAGCACGTGGGCTCTCCGGGTTACGTAGATAACTCCCACACTACTATTTCAATTACTGAAAAACAGTATGTATGCATTTCGTTTTTGTATATATGATTCTGTTGATTCTCTCTCTCTCTCTCTCTCTCTCTCTCTCTCTCTCTCTCTCTCTCTCTTCTCTCTCTCTCTCTCTCTCTCTCTTTTTATATATATATATATATATATATATATATATATATATATATAGAGAGAGAGAGAGAGAGAGAGAGAGAGAGAGAGAGCACTCTTTAAGGACACCGCATTCAGTTGCTTCAGTCAGATTCAGTCAATGTCAGTTAGTTAGACAGTCAGTCAATCAGTTCAATTCAGTTCAATATATACTCAGTATACTACATTTAGATTTGGAGCGAAAAATAGTCACTACAATTAACCAAGGATCTTTCTAAGAATACCGCTCCTACACTCACCACTTTCCCAGCGGAAAGTCTTAAAATTAGTAAGTCTTAAAATTAGTTACTCGGCTCTCTTCTTCTACATATTTAAGTATCAATAATTAGTTATTTCGGATCTTTTCTTTTACACCCGAGTACCAATAATTATTTATTTCGAATTTCTTCCTCTAAATCGGTGGATCTTTCCCTTGACCTCTCGGATTTCTGAATTATATTGAAGGCCCTTGAAGGTTTATGGTAGCCGAATAATCGGCGAATTTTTTCTTTCTCTCTCTTATTGACCACTGTGGACCTCATGGGTTTCCGAATTTCGTTGAAGGCCCTCGAAGGTTCATGATAGCCAAATAATCGGCGAATCTGTTTTCACATTCTCTTTCTTTTTCCTTAAATATATCTCATCCCTCTCTTTATTTATTCACGCAATGAACCAACTCACCGAGTTCTAGATTGTCACGGTCTAAATAGTCTCTCAAACGCTTGCGAAATCGGCGGAACGTCCGGGCTTAACATGCGGCCAAGAACCACTATACAATCAAACTTAACAGAACCAATCGAATCACTACAAAAATTAATCGCTCTAGCTTCAGAATCCCCCTCTCACCTTTTTTCCATATACTTTCCCGACCTACTGACAGACTCGCTGCAGCGTTTAATTTATGCGATAGAATCTAGTTACTCTCCTGTAGATCCGAAATATAGATTTCGGATCTACAGGATAGATTTTGGTATCCTTTCCCCCAATCCTTGGCTTCATGACGACCATCCCTTTCCCACCATACCCACACACACACACACACACATCCACACCCACCCATCCATACACCCACACACACACACGCGCGCGCGCGCGCGCGCGCACGCACACATGCCATCTCTCCTTAGATCATATGTATTTTTATGTACTATTTTTATGTTCATTAAAGGATTAATTTAAATTTTAAGTTTTCTCCTTTCTTTTAAAATCTTCATTTATTTTCCGCTATTCGATCACATAAGATCCTTGGTTAAAGGAATTAAATTTCTTGACCGACGGACGCACGTCTTCGCGGTAGCGACTCCTTATCGCTGACCCAAGACTATCAGTGTGATCCGACTCACGTTTGACACTTGACTCTCGAGAGAGCAGCTGTGTCGTCCTTGCGAGCTCATTCGTACTTCATTCTTAATTTCCTAATTTCTCTAGGCTAGATGTAACAGCACACTCTATTAAAATTGCTTATATTTTATACTGCATGAAATAAAAAGATTAAAGTATGCTTTATATGTAACGTTACAAACTGAC